TATATATATATATATATATATATATATATATATATATATATATATATATATATATATATATATATCGGAGTGCCATAAATTGTGAGGTGTTAAGTCATGCCGAAGAAGAACCAAGTTAAAGTTTAAACTCATCTTTCAGACCCCATGACCCTTGCTACGCCCCTGGATACCCCCCCCCCCCCTCCAACCCCGCCACTGCCAACCGCCGCCATTGATCTCCTGTCAAGCGTGAGCCGCTTCCTGATGTTTTGTAAACACGTGACTTTGTTCCCACAAGTAATTAAAGCAGGTTTTCCTCCGTCGGATCAGTCGCGGTAACGGTGGATGGAACAAGGATCGGTTCAAACACAAACACACATACTCACTAACATTCAAACACTCACACACTTAGACACTCACATTCACACACACGTACTCACTCACATTCACTCACATTCAAACACACACACACACACACTTAGACACTCACATTCACACACACACACGTACTCACTCACATTCACTTACATTCAAACACACACACAATCGCACGCACACACACACGCTCACACACACATAAACACTCATACTCCCACACACACGTACTTACAGTCACACACACAGTCACACACTCAAACACTCAAATTCTTGCAGACACGAACTCACGCACATTGACACAAACACACGCGTACTCACACACACACACACTTTCACTAACATTACAAACACACTCACTCATGCACACATATTCATACTCACTCACTTACACACACACACTTAAAGACGTTGACTCACACACCTACTCACACACATTCAATTGCATCCACGCTCACACACACGCACACACAAACACACAAAAAACATCCACTAGAGTGAAGTAAGTCTTCATTAATTTACAAGTGTAACATAGAGGAAAAAAATACTATCAGACTAGCATTAGCAGGGGCGTAGACCATTGAGTGGGTTCTAATTCCTTAATGGAACACTCGATGACAAAACGAACCCTGTAACTAATTAAAAGCATAGCTCTACAGTCACCGTTACATCCAAATTAAGCATAACAATAATTAGCCGATTACAAGACGGAAACAGTATTTCCACAGCTGAGGTTTTAGCTCTTTAAAGGCTGCACATTGTACTACAATGTTAAAATGGAAGAGTATTGTGAGTAAGAACAGTATTGAACCAAGTCATATTCCGTATTATAAAGTAGTACAGAAATAAGGCATGTACTGACTTATTGTAACAAAGTATGGTGGTAAAGTATTTACTTAGTACAACAATGATGCCTCAATACTGTTCGGTAACGCTGTAGTATTGTACACCTGTACACAAAATACTCTGTTGTACCTGTTAGCACCCTTGTACACAATACCTGTACGCAATACATGTACACAATACCTGTACACAATACCTGTACACAATACATGTACACAGTACATCATTAGCAGATTAGTTAGTCAGTGATCTATAACGATAATTTCTCTTAGCTGCGCGGTAATGTCTGAAGCTAACAGACAACGACGGCAGATGTACATTTTGTGTACGTTTTGTGTACGTTTTGTGTACGTTTTGTGTACGTTTTGTGTACGTCTAATCGACTTGTTCATGACCGCGAAATAAAATAGTAACATGCGACCTACTTATTTCGCTTCAGGCTGGGCTATAATTGATTTGATAGGAAGTCCATCAGTGACTTGGGGAAGATCAATTGTGAAGCAATTAAAGGATGATGGAACGAATTGGTCTGAGCTGTAGACAACCTCGACAAATAGAGTTGGTTTGAGAAATGCTGTCTTGACTCGCAAATATTTTAAAAAAAAAAAAGCAGGGAAAAAAGCACTTTATCTTGATAATTAGATGCAGCGTCTTCGTGTTACAATACTTCTTCATCTTCGTTCTTAATTGTATTATTGGAGGTGATATCATCCAACATAATTAAGTATCAGGGATCAACTTCAGCCTTTTTTTAAAATTTGGTTCTATAGCTTTTGTCCAACCAAGAACAATACGTTCATCAGCAGTTGCTTGATTTTGGAGTTGTCTCTCTTAGATGGAATGATAGTCCCCAGCTAACGAGTCGCATCTACTTGAGGGTCTAAACTCGTGACATTTGGGGTAGCTATCATATGCTCTCCAATCCGACCATACAATTATGAAGTCCTGACAGATTTGAATATAACTTTGTTATTTTTTTATTTTTTTCTTTCGTTAATTTGGGATTTTAAAATAAATATATTTCAACTTCTCGAATTGTACAGATCGTGTGTCACTGTGGCAAAAAAAAAAAAGATTTTTTTTTAAAATCTGTACACGCCAACCTAGCCAGGTAAACGTTGAGAAGGTCAGATGATCACAGCTGATTAACGTATTTCTGCCTGCTCTCTGTGTCACGTCATCGTCGAGATTTCCCCCCCCCCCTCCACCTTGTAATCAGTCTTGTGGTTATTATAAGAATTATTTCCCCTGCTCCAGTAGTAATCGAAGTCAATTGCGGTATCGCTTTTTACTTTGTTCGTGATCAGGGTTGGGTTCGTGATGAGGGTTGGGATGGTGGTTTGTGGTAATCGAAGTTTAATGTGGTATCGCTATTTTTTTTGCATTATCGTGGTTAGGGTTGGGTTTATGAACAGGATTGAGTATCAAACTAGGATTAGGGTTTTAAATTACGATAAGTTTCGAGGATTTTAGGCTTGAATGAACGGTTTAAAATTAGGTTAAGTTTCCGGCTGTGGGTCAGGCTGGATAATTAGATTTAGCTTTATCATTGAAGTTAAATTGGGTTCGTTCAAGAATTAGATTAGTGTGCGCTTCTTCTCTTCTCCTTATCACCCCCACCCCACACAAAAGAACAAAAAGCTTTAAGAACATCAGCTTGTCTAGAATCCCACCCTAGATTGTTCTAAGTAGCATTAAACATGTAAATGATAAAATATTCTTTTATTAGCAAATCTGGAGTTTAAAAAATCTTATACAAAAATAAATTTGGTATCAATAATAAATTAGATGAGCCTATCCTCACTTTGGGTACGGCGTGGTCGAATGGTGGAGCGTTCGATTGCTAACTTGAAAGTCTCGTGTTCGGGTCCCTGGTTAGAATTGTATCACGACCCTGAGTCCACTCAGTTCTGAAGGATACCTGAGTTACGTAAGGGAAAGTAAAGGCGGCTAGACATAGTACTGACCATACTATCCCTTTTTATTCCCTTTTGGGCCGCCAGGTTCGAAAGGGTACTGTACTTACTTTACCTTTTTTAAATCCTAACTTTGCCTTTGAAAAGTTTTGAAGTTTTATAATAAACTAGAGAGAAGCTATACTTTTATTTAAAACTATGCCATCAACATGAGAAGTCAAAGAAGTATTGTTTCTAAATAATCCTTCGTACAGACATACTGTATCCCCATTCCCTTCAGCAATCACCCACACAGCCATCTTCAACACATTAATTTCTACCCGTTTTCCTAACATATCACTCCCTCACACATCACTCCCTCACAAACCTCACTCATCCTCCCATCCCTGTCTCCCCACACGTCAACTCACTCAAACCCCTTTACCCACACATCTCATTCCCACACATGTCCCCCACACCAAACCCATAAACTCATCCCCCATAAATCAATCCACACCCCCTTCCCCACATATCAACCCACACACCTTTCCCCCACACATCAACCCACACACCTTTCCCCCTCACATCAACCCACACACCTTTCCCCCACACATCAACCCACACACCTTTCCCCCACACATCAACCCACACAATTTTCCCCCACACATCAACCCACACACATTTCCCCCTCACATCAACCCACACACCTTTCCCCCACACATCAACCCACACAATTTTCCCCCACACATCAACCCACACACATTTCCCCCACACATCAACCCACACACCTTTCCCCCTCACATCAACCCACACATCAAAGTCCACCCACACCCTTATCCCCTATACACCAACCCATACCCCATCCCACACACATCAACCCACACACCTTTCCCCCTCACACCAACTCACACCTTCATCCCCACACACAAACCCACACATCAAAGTCCACCCACACCCTTATCCCCTATACACCAACCCATACCCCATCCCACACACATCAACCCACACACCTTTCCCCCTCACATTAACTCACACACCTTTCCCCCACACATCAACCCACACACCTTTCCCCCTCACATCAACCCACACACATTTCCCCCACACATCAACCCACACATCAAAGTCCACCCACACCCTTATCCCCTATACACCAACCCATACCCCATCCCACACACATCAACCCACACACCTTTCCCCCTCACATTAACTCACACCTTCATCCCCACAAATGAACCCACACATCAAAGTCCACCCACACCCTTATCCCCTATAAATCAACCAACACACCCATCCCACACACATCAATCCACACACCTCCCACACTACCTTCCCAGCGTTTAACTACATCTGGTCGTGTTTAACTTTCTAATATTTGTCTCCAGCTAATAATTAATCTCGCTTATTACAGCGGAACAAAACTATTATCAGCAGAAAAAAAAACCAACAGAACACTCAATTATTTTTACGACATTTCACGAACGAAAGTAAACATTATTTTTTCATTCTCTTTCTAACTATAATAAAGAAAATATTGAATGTGAATGATGAAAAAACAGTCCCAAATCCCAGCCCAATTAGGGGAGTATTACAGTAATCTTAAAATAACTTTTGTGTACTTTTAAGTTTTAGCTTTGATTTGTTTGTGCGGCAGGGAAAAAAAAGGTTTTAATTAGGCTAGATTTTACCTGTTTAATTTAAAACCAAATGACTAAGTTGCCTAAATTAGTTTAGTTAGGTTAACGCTATTTTTATTTGTATATGCATGTAGCAATATATATATATGTATATATATATATATATAAGTGTGTGTGTTTATTTATAATTTATTTATTTATTTATTCAAATTGATGAATATATTTTTTTTATTATTTATTCATTAATAATGTCCAATGTCTTTTCTGTTTTTAGGTCCAAGTATTTCAGGGGGAAGAAACTCTTCGGTGACTGGGATGTACGAGTAGAACAGGCCGAGTTCTCGGAACTGAATCTGGCAGCGTACTCAGACAGTGGCACCATGGTAGATATCCAGGTCACAAGGAATGGCAGCAAAGTCGTTAGGTAACTCCCCCTTCTATGGTATATTTAATTGTTGGGTAACTGTTCTATTTAAGTAACTATTAAATTATTTTAACTTATTCTACGATAGTTTTAGACAGATTTTTCCAACAAGATTTCTTTTAGTAAGAAAAGGCCATTCATGCCAATCTCTGTCTTTTACAATTTCTTTCTGTAAAAGCCAGACATTATATTTGTCTGTGTAGGTCCTTCAAACCATACTTTGTCTTATACAACATTTTGACTGTGTAGGTCCTTCAAGCCAGACTTTGTCTTATACAACATTTTGTCTGTGTAGGTCCTTCAAACCAGACTTTGTCTTATACAACATTTTGTCTGTGTAAGACTTTGTCTTATACAACATTTTGTCTGTGTAAGACTTTGTCTTATACAACATTTTGTCTGTGTAAGACTTTGTCTTATACAACATTTTGTCTGTGTAAGACTTTGTCTTATACAACATTTTGTCTGTGTAAGACTTTGTCTTATACAACATTTTGTCTGTGTAAGACTTTGTCTTATACAACATTTTGTCTGTGTAGGTCCTTCAAGCCAGACTTTGTATTATACAACATTTTGTCTGTGTAAGACTTTGTCTTATACAACATTTTGTCTGTGTAAGACTTTGTCTTATACAACATTTTGTCTGTGTAAGACTTTGTCTTATACAACATTTTGTCTGTGTAAGACTTTGTCTTATACAACATTTTGTCTGTGTAGGTCCTTCAAGCCAGACTTTGTATTATACAACATTTTGTCTGTGTAAGACTTTGTCTTATACAACATTGTGTCTGTGTAGGTCCTTCAAGCCAGACTTTGTATTATACAACATTTTGTCTGTGTAAGACTTTGTCTTATACAACATTTTGTCTGTGTAAGACTTTATCTTATACAACATTTTGTATGTGTAGGTCCCTTAAGCCAGACTTTGTCTTATACAACATTTTGTCTGTGTAAGACTTTGTCTGATACAACATTTTGTCTGTGTAGGTCCTTCAAGCCAGACTTTGTCCTGATACGCCAACACGTCAGGGACGCCCAGCAAGACTGGAGGAATTTGTTGTTGGGGTTCAAATACGGCGCCATCCCCAGCATCAACTCGCTGACAGCTGAGTACAACTTCTTGGACAAACCATGGGTGGTGAGTGATGCTGTTTGGTTCATGTTGGGGTGGTGGTGTGTTGTTCATGTTGGGGTGGTGGTGTGTTGTTCATGTTGGGGTGGTGGTGTGTTGTTCATGTTGGGGTGGTGGCGTTTTGTAAATGTTGTGGTGGTGTGTTGTTCATGTTGGGGTGGTGGTGTGTTGTTCATGTTGGGGTGGTGGTGTGTTATTCATGTTGGGGTGGTGGTGTGTTGTTCATGTTGATGTGATGGTGTGTTGTTCATGTTGGGGTGGTGGCGTTTTGTAAATGTTGTGATGGTGTGTTGTTCATATTGGGGTGATGGTGTGTTGTTCATGTTGATGTGATGGTGTGTTGTTCATGTTGGGGTGGTGGCGTTTTGTAAATGTTGTGATGGTGTGTTGTTCATATTGGGGTGATGGTGTGTTGTTCATGTTGATGTGATGGTGTGTTGTTCATGTTGGGGTGGTGGCGTTTTGTAAATGTTGTGGTGGTGGTGTGTTGTTCATGTTGGGGTGGTGGCGTTTTGTTCATGTTAGGACGAACGAATTTTAATCTGCTATGGGGCTACAATTTTGACCAATCCGTTCCATCATCCTTTAGTCCAGACTACTACATTTCGTCCATGATTTGTTGATGATGCTTTGTCAAGGGGTACCGACGTTTTGTCCATGTTTGCGAATGTATTGTCCATGTTCGAGTGCTGTCGCTTTGCCGACGTTGGGGTTACGTTTTGTCCATACCCCACCCTGCCCCTTCATTCCCCATTCCACAATTCTAACGTGACCAGTTAATTTATTTATTGTTTCGCAAACGCTGTTTCAAAATATTGAAATTTGACAGCTTAAATCAAATTAAATTAAAAGACGCTGAAGCTCCAATTTCCCGCAAACACGGGGAGCCTTGTGTAATGAGAAAAACAAACCATGACAAGCGATCAACTTCTCTATTGTATCCCGCACTTCCCCATCCCCACCTCGTGTGGAGTGGGCTAAAACTAGAACTCGATCTTTTTTTAAGTTTGTGTTTTTGTTTTAGTTTGACGGGACAGGATGTGCAGTAGTGTGGTAGCTGTAGGGGGGGGGGTGCGAGTTGAGAGGCGTGGAGGGTGTTAAATGGTGGTGTTAATTGTTAGATCACGCCAAAGCTAATATTAAATGGTGCAGTCAACTCGGGCAGATGAGGCTCGTTAGCTGGGGACAGCCACTCTTCTAGGAGAGACAACTCCAAAATCAAACAACTGCTGCCTTTTAGTTTGTTCTTGGTTGGGCAAAGGCTATGGAAGCAAATCCAAAAAGAAAAGCAGGCTGAAATCGGAGTCAATGGCCCCAATTGCGCATAGCCAGTTGACACGTATCCTTAATTGTGATGGAGGCGTGGTCGAGTTGGCAAAGCTCATGGTTGATAAATTCGAAAAAAATCTCGAGTTCATACCCTCTGGCAGATAAGGCTCGATCCCTACTAACACTAAAAATTAAGAACGAAGAAGAAGAAGAAGGTACAGTCAAAGTTGGTGTGGCTGATATCAAATGGTGCAGTCAATATTGGCGTCATCGTCACTGCTGGGATATGGGCCACCAACCAAAGATCTTCAGAGTCCTCTGTCCTGTGCCATCTTCACAACCTGACTCCAGGTGAAGCCTACCTTTGTTGTTTTAGACTCAAGGTCCGTCTCCAGGTGTTTTTTGGTTGACCTCTTTTGCGTTTTCTTGAGGATTCCACCTCGCTGTCTGTCTGGTGATGTTGATTGGCGGTCTATATGTCGGCAATAAGTCCTGATTTTAAATGATGCAAACAAAAAAAAATGGTAACCGATATTAAATGGTGCAGTTAAAGTTGGTGTGGCTTATGTTAAATGGTGCAGTTAAAGTTGGTGTGGCAGATATTAAATGGTGCAGTTAAAGTTGGTGTGACTGATATTAAATGGTGCAGTTAAAGTTGGTGTGGCTTATATTAAATGGTGCAGTTAAAGTTGGTGCGGCTGATATTAAATGGTGCAGTTAAAGTTGGTGCGACTGTGACTAAATGGTGCAGTTAAAGTTGGTGAGACTGATGTTAAACGGTAAAGACGTTAAAGTTTGTGTGACTGATGTTAACCGGTGTGTTTAAAGTCGGTGTGACTAAACCAAATGCTTGAATAAAATCAATTCCTCCTGTGTTCACCGATCCAGCGAAGACGTATCTTAAAATTTGAAAACAACACCAAATCGATACTGACAAAATCGATACGACTCCTACAAAATGCAGTAGCATCAGAAGTGTTAGTAGAAATATTGACACGTTTAGACTGCCATCAGAAGTGTTAGTAGAAATATTGACAAGTTTGTACTGCCATCAGAAGTGTTAGTAGAAAAATTGACAAGTTTGGACTGCCATCAGAAGTGTTAGTAGAAATATTGACAAGTTTGGACTGACATCAGAAGTGTTAGTAGAAATGTTGACAAGTTTAGACAGCCATCTTGGCATTTTGAACCAACCGCTTATTTTTGCATTGGGGGAGGGAGGGGGTTTGGAGGGGGGGGGGGATGTGTTCAAGGCCGGATTAGACATCTAAATGCAATCCCTGGAGAAACTAACTGAAAAATCACTTTAATTATATATATATATATATATATATATATATATATATATATATATATATATATATATATATATATATATATATATATATATCACTTTTCTGTTTTTACCAGATACATTCGGTTCACCATTCAAAGCTTTATCTCCTTTAAATTGTGCATTTAGATGCCGATTCTCTCCCTTGGGTCCCAGACTACAAAAAAAATCTTTTTTTTTTTGTTGGAACTGTTAGAATCATTTAACGTTGGGATTGAAATCTTCGACCTCACTGGCGTCTTTCAGTGTTTCTTCCAGGCATCACTTCCTGGAAGAAACACTGGTGACTTTACTCACATACCATGGGAAAAGCAGGTCAGAAAGAGGCGCTATGTTGTTTTGTTGTTCTAATGTTTCGTCCACTTACTGAAAAATGTCATTTACATACTGAACAGCCTATTAACTTTTCGGGAGTAGACTCGATGATCCCAGTTTGATTGAAGTCTTAGAGTGGGATTGGGGGTGTGGGGGGTGGGATTTTTAGAAGTTTAAAAACTCAGATTTATTACTTTGTTTGCCAACGCGGTTCATATTTGTGTGCATACACTCCCACTATAATGGCTGGACTAAATGTTAATTTAAAGGTTTAAAAGGAATATTCAGCAAGTTGGAGAATGTCAATAACGTTTTTAAGTTGTTCATGCCGTTTCTAGATTATAACTAGATTATGAAGCTGTCATGGAAGGTAGACGGTAATCCTGAATTTGATCCAATAGTTTTGTCATGGAGATTTTAAGTGAATACTTTTTCAGAGCTAAAACATTTTTAATCATAAAAGTTAAATTTGGAAACGCCTGAATTATTTTAAATAATTTTTTAACAGTAAAGTTGCTTAGAAATCTATAAATTAAAAAAAAATAATTGTTTTCTTTATTTTTATTTAGCTCAATGAGTTGCAGTTTTTGAGTGACACAATATTGGCGTTGCGTGCGTCTTTTAGAGCCGATCCTTGTTTTGTTACTCCAGTGTCGTGCCGGACGAGGCGATTTGAAATCGATACACAGGGGGTGTACAGGCCTCAATTAGACTCGCCCAGAAGAGGGAGCTGACTGTCCATGCAAACATTTCTCGCGTTGCTATTGATTAAATCACGACTTAAGAGTTGGGGGAAGGGATGGGGAGGGGCATAGGGGAGGGGGGAGGGGATGTTGGTGAAAGTTTGGATTTAACTTCAAACACACTATTTATTTGTCTTTGTAGCGTAGTGTAGAGTTGGGAAAACGTATGTTTGAAGAGGAAAGTTAGCCCCAATAGATGGGGGGGGGGGGGGGGTGTAGGCTGAAATCTGCTGAGGGGAGATAAGTCTCGGCAGTGTCAACAATGGTGTCGTGATGTGGATTTTGTATGATTTCCGGGAGAAGATGATGAGGGTGAATTGGGGATTTGAGAGTACGGGAAGGGGGCTTGATAGAATGTTTGAAAGCTAGAGGCTTTGTGGAGTAGGGATGGGGATTTGAGAGAAGGGGAAGGGGGCTTGATAGAATGTTTGAAAGCTAGAGGCTTTGTGGAGTAGGGAGTAGGGATTTCAGAGTAGGGGAAGGGGGCTTGATAGAATGTTTGAAAGCTAGAGGCTTGATAGAATGTTTGAAAGCTAGAGGCTTTGTGGAGTAGGGAGTAGGGATTTCAGAGTAGGGGAAGGGGGCTTGATAGAATGTTTGAAAGCTAGAGGCTTGATAGAATGTTTGAAAGCTAGAGGCTTTGTGGAGTAGGGAGTAGGGATTTGAGAGTAGGGGAAGGGGGCTTGATAGAATGTTTGAAAGCTAGAGGCTTGATAGAATGTTTGAAAGCTAGAGGCTTTGTGGAGTAGGGAGTAGAAGGGTTGCAAGGTAACGAATATATAGTGGATATTGGGTAGGGGTGGGGTTTATGAGGATGAGAGCAGAAAGCACAAAAGGGATAGAAGTTAATAAATATGATCAATTGAGGGAATGGTAACAAATAAGTGTTACATAGTGGTTACAAATATTTAAAAGCAAAGTTACCTTTTCGAACTTAACGGTCCATGGCGAAGTGAAGTAGAAGTCACTTGTTTCTGTGACATCGGCATAAGAACCTCTTTAGCACTGAGGCCCATCTGCCTTTACGTTCCCTAACGTGAGGCAGGTACTCATCCGAGCTGGGTGAACTCAGGAACAATTACGAGGCAGGGGAAAATGTAAACAAAGGCCTAGATGGAAGATGTAGGAAGTATCGACTGGATAGAGGACAAATGCAGAAAGTCCACACACACAAAAAAAAAACATAATCTCTAGAAAAATGAGTTTATACATCTCATTCCAATATTAAAATAGTGCAAAATATTATGTTAAAACGTTAAAACAGTATCTGAATTCTATTTTTCTGGCATTTTATACGAGTGCTCTTGAATGACAGCCAATATAAGTATAAATGTACATTGATTTCG